ATCATAGGGGCTATAGAGTGCTGCTGCTGCTGCTGCTGCTGTTGGTGCTGCAGTTCTGCCTGTCTACTTTCGTTGTTAGTATTACCTTCATAGGGGCTGTAGAGTGCTGCTGCTGCTGCTGTTGCTGCTGCTGCTGCAGCTTCACATGTCTCCTTTAGTTGTTAGTATTACATTCAGTATAGGGGCTATAAACTGCTGCTGCTGCTGCTGTAGCTTCATGTGTCTCCTTTAGTTGTTAGTATTACCTGTATCATGGGAGCTATGCAGTGCTGCTGCTGCTGCTGCTGCAGCAGCAGCAGCTTCATGTGTCTCCTTTAGTTCGTAGTCACAGTCTCTTACAGATGGATTAACAGCTGCTGCTGCAGCGCCCTTGCATGCATCAAGGTTGTTTGCTGCTGTTTAGAGACAATACATTTTGCTACAGACACTGCAAATAGTATTGTTTGTTTAGGCCTCTTCTCTCTCTGTCTCCTTCTGAATATATTATTATTATTATTATTATAAGTAAAAAATTATTTACACTGTCTATGCATGCAGCTAACTGCATGCAGGTTGTTGGGGCTGCCTTGCAGCAGCAGCAGCAGCAGCAGCAGCAGCAGATGAAGTGCAGCAACGTACACTTCAACTAAGAAAAAGCTGTCTCCTTTCCGCAGCAGCACCAGGGCATTGGGCCCTTCGATTAGGGTTTACAGCCAAACCCTAAACCCTAAACCCTAAAACCCTAAACCCTAACTTTTTGTTTAGCCCTTAGGCCCCAGCACTGAGCAGCAGGGAGTCTGAAGGCTATGGAGGAGACACGCACTTCTTTACTGTCTCTCTTCTTTATTTATTTATAATCTGCAGCTCTTTATATTTATTTATAAATACACCTCTTATATATATTATTTATTATCAACTGCAGAAGAGACAGCAGCTCCTCAGCTGCAGTATGTATATCATATATAATATATATACATATATAATATATATAATATATATACATATATATATATATAAACTTTATTGCTATGCATGCAGACAGCTTTAATTAAACATTTTATCTGCCCTTCAACTGCGAATACACCAGCTGTACGTACAGCAGATATAACATAAACTAATAATAATAATAATAATAGCAAGACGAATATAAACTAATAGCAATAATAATAATAACAATAATAATAATAATAATTATTATTATTATTATTATTATTTTATATTAGTCTAGCTTCTGTTCTTATGAAAAACGCTTTTAGTATATGCATGCAATAAGACAAATATATTAATGTTTTAATTTATTTGTTTGTTTGTCTGCTCTGCAGCCGAGCAGCATCAAGACAAACATTTTAAAGACATTTAATTTAAGTCTGAGTGTGAAGGTCAGTACTTTGTACGCAAAATGAATATACAATAAACATATATATATATATATATATGTATATATATATATATGTATATATATATATATTATTTATAGATATAGATATATACGTGTAGATATATGCATATATATGTATATACATAGTGATATATGTATACATGCATGTATACATGTATATATATATATATACATGTATATATGTATTCATATGTATATATATATATATGATTGTATATATATATATATATATCTATATATATATACATGTATATATATATGTATTATAATATATATAAGTTTAATGATTGGTTAGCTCATACTAACGCATTTGTTTGTTTTCTTATCATCTAGTGCTGCAAATAGCCTTCTGTATATAATGCATGCATGCATGCATGCATGCATAAAGCCCCAAAATAATGTTTGAAGACACTCCGCTACTATCAAGCAAACAAACCCTCAGCGAGCAAGCCCCCTAGAAGAGTTTGAGGGTTTGTAAGGGTTTGAGGGTTTGTAAGGGTTTGAGGGTTTGTAAGGGTTTGAGGGTTTTAAGGGTTTGAGGGTTTTAAGGGTTTGAGGGTTTGTAAGGGTTTGCTAGGGCTCCTCCTACACTTCAAAGCCTAATAGGGTTTTAAGGGTTTGTAAGGAGTGATATGCAAGGGTTTGATCAGGGTTTATAAGGGTTTGTATCTTTTCCTGAGGGTTTGTAAATGTCTGTAGGGGTTTATAAGGGTTTGACAGGGATTAATAGGGTTTATGAGGGTTTATAAGGGTTTGCAAGGCATTAAAATTGTTTAATAGGGTTTATGAGGGTTTATAAGGGTTTGAAAGGCATCAAAAGGGTTCGTTAGGGTTTATGAGGGTTTATTGTGAGCGAGGCCCCCTCGCAGTGTACGTACAGCAACAAAGCAGTTCCTTAACTGCTGCATTTAAGAGGCATGCAGTCTGCTGTTGCTGCTGATGCAGCAGCAGCAGCAGACTGTTGGTGCTGCCAGCGCACAGCAACCTGCTGCAGCAGCAGCAGCAGCAGCAGCAACAGCGCGCATCAACTGAGGGGTCTTTCTATACCCCTCTTAGGAGACGGCAGCAACAACAGACCCCACAACCTCCCTTCGCGAGCCCCGCAACAACAACAGCAGCAGC